GAAGGACATTTGAATACAAACATCTGAATGAATAGGACTCAGTATGTATGGCAGAGTGCATAGGGTTTGGTGGGGGATTTAGGGAGGCATGGATCAGGGAGCAGGTCTAAGTTTGAGTGGGAAATGTACAAAATTTAAAAAGATTGATAAAAAATGGAAAGAATATTAAAAAATTAAAAAATACTAAAAGTCAGCTAAAGCCAGTATAGCATATATGACCTTGGAACATCGAAAAACTAAGCAACGGTGAATGTGTTGTGAAATCATTTAGGAAAAAATATAAAAAATAATATATAAACACAATAAATGAGGAAGAAAAAGTAGTAAAGAAAGAGAGGGCAGGGAAGGTTCACCAAGATGGTGACAGGAAAGATCTAAAAGACTGGAACAGAGATATGGTCAAATGGAGAGGAGAGAATATAGATTTAAGAAAAAAGCATTTTGATTCACCTTCTGATCCACCCATGTACTGAGAGCTCTGAGCTGTAAATTCATTGTTAGAGTTTTCATCCAATGTGTCCCATAGGTGCAGTTTCTGTTATAGTATTTTACTCCTGGAAGTGACCATGAATGTTATGGTTAAATATTATTACCAACTTAAGTGCACAACTCTTCACCTATTGGTGAGGATGTTTCCAGAGATGACTAAGTCATGGAGACTTTATTCTAATAAATGATTTAATCTACTGATGGTCTCAATATATGAACAGGCTACTGGGATGGAATGAAACTCCAGATCCTTAGGTTTTCCTCAAGAACTAGGTCACTTGGAACTTATCTTTGGAGAGCATATATTACTTTTGCACCTTCCTACCTGCCTCGAATAAAACAACACTGTTTACCATTTCAGCTCTATCATGTAATATCAAAACCTCTGGGGACATGATCAAAGTAAATACTTCCTGTTTAAGTTATTCATGTTTTGTATTGTGTTACAATGTCCAAAAGCAAACTGATCTAACCTCCAACTTGTTTCGTGTTTGTCTTCATTTTCTGAGTGAGGGTTTCAGCATGTTTCAAATGTGACTGCTATAAAAATCCTTTAGGGGCTGGAGAGATGGCTCAGCAGTTAAGAACACTGGCTGCCTTTGCAGAGGACACGGTATTGATTCCCAGCACACACCTGGTGACTAACAACCATCCATAACTCCAGTTCCAAGTTATCCAATGCCTTCCTTTGTTCTCCACAGTCATTTCACACACATGGTGTGCTTACATATGTGAGGGAAAAACATTCATATACAAAAATTAAGTAATAATTTTTTTAAAATTAAACAAAGAAATGCTTTGGAATCCAAGTCTAAATGAAGGAATAGTATTAACTCCTGATCCGTTAGCCTGAAACATTGTTGCCTCTGTAACCACATATATCAAAGGAATGAATGCTGTCCTTGGTCCAAATAATTTCCCCACCAGGGTCACTTCCTATCTCCAGGGATGGTTGCTCTCTGCAATCTACAACCTGCTTAGACAGTGCTTAAATTTGCCTCCTACACATGGCTGCCTCTGCAGTCCATTAAGAATGTGTTCACTACAAAATCTTTCACAAAACCCTAAGAATAAGCAACATCATTACAAAAAGTAGATATTATTCCTAAAGAAATTTGTGCTTTATTTTAGATGATGTTTTAAAGTAATGGAAGAAGACAGTTTATTGGGACTATGAGGCATTAGAGGTAAGCAAGTGAGCAAATGATCTTTGGATAAAAGATTTTGGTACTCTTCATGAAAGTGTTCCATTGTAATTATCCATACTTCCTAATACAAATTCAAAAGTGATTAAGATGCACTGTATGAAATTCACAAAATTTCACTTAAAATATCTATTTTAAAAAGGCTGGCAGTGTTTGGTGAGATCTCATCAAATGTGATATCACTCATGATGTTCTTTAGTCCACAAACAGGGAAGTGGAATCGTAATTCATAGAGGAAGAACACAGCACATAGATATTAAGACAATCTACAGAAATTGTCTCCTTTATATAAAAGGAGACTTGCATAGGATGTGTATTATATTGCTTAAAAATATGCATCTCTTTCACTCTTGTTCTTAGGGATTTTACTAGCAATGATAATAGAGTAAAAAAATTAGAAACATATGCCTAACCTTAAATTAACTTTTAATCATGGGTAGAGTAGTTTTAGGATAATTATATTGGCAAAGTCACTAGTTGATATGAAAATATATGATTTTTTAAAAAATATTTTATTACTTTTGTTTTCTTATGTGTATGCGTGTATTGCCTGCATATAGGTAAGCGCACCCATGTTGTGCAATGCCTGCAGAGGACAGAAGAGGTGGTCAGATCCCCTGAAACTGAGGTTATGGACAGTTGTTAGCCACCATGTGGGTGCTGGGATTTGAACCCAGTCTTCTCCAAAAACAGCCAGTGATCTTAACCACTGAGCCATCTCTCCAGCCCCCAAAGTATATGATTTTAAAGAATACAAGTGGCAGGGAGAAAGGGAGCTGAATTAGACAATCTAGAAAAGAATGAGTTCACTAATGATACTCTGTTCCACAGGCCTGCTGAATCCTAGGAAGAAGAGTCATGGGCCATCTTCTAAGCTTCTGTTTCAATTCTGATACCCCAAAGAGTACATTTTGAATTCCATGCATTTTGGAAAATGATGTGCACAAGTAATTGAATAAGTTTATTTTATTTTGTTATCATTTCTGAATTTAAATTGGATATATCTCATTTCATTTCTATTGTGGCTGATATACAGAGTGAATAAGAACTAATAGATATATTCTCTGTGTTAATGACATAATAAAATTGAACACATGGGAGGGAAATGAATTGGATATTGTCAATCCATTATTATTTTCATTTTAATACATTTAAAGCAATGTTTTCTGATCATGCATTTATTATGAAAAGTCAGACTGGTTGACTTTAAAACTATATTTTTGCATGGTGAGAATGCGCTGCAATCCAAACTCATAACATGCAGATGCAAGTTTACCATGTGACCTCAAGTGTAGCCAGCACTACCTACTGAAATGTCTTTGTGAAGGGCCATCATGAGAGAAAGGAGAGAGAGAGAGAGAGGGAGGGAGGGAGAGAGAGAGAGAGAGAGAGAGAGAGAGAGAGAGAGAGAGAGAATGAATCTATATTTTATAACAGTACTGGTGTTGTTATGCCAAAACATGGCACTGGCCACACAGACAGATGTGGTTACTGGGGAGAATGCAGTTCTCTGCTACACTGACACCCTGGTTTTGCTTCCTCTCTTTTCCATAAGGTGTTAGAAAGCTTTTCAGACCCAATTAATAAGGACACAAGTTCAATTTCTGAAACAGCTGCATTTACAAAATTACATTTTGCAAAATAACTTACATCTTAAACATTGTTTTAGGGGTTAAAATTTAATATATGGAAAATAAATGTAGCATTGCTCATAAGTCCCAACTTCAAAGAATGGAAGTTACCGGAAAATGTGATGCATGTGGAAACTGCAAGTCATCTCATCTAAAAGAATATTCACCATAAACTTTTTTTCTACTATGATATATACTCTAAATTACCACTATTCCAGAAACTACCTTGAAAAGACAGGTGTTCTTTGAATTTTTTTGAATTCTTAAATATCCGTACATAGGTTCAATACACTGTTCACAGTTACCCCGTGACTTTAATTTCTATAGTTGAGAAGAATAATTAATAATATCTCATTATTTATATGTCCTGGATATTATTTGTTTGTTTTTGGTTAACTCAGTGTTTCACACATCAGAAAGTAGCTACAGTACAGATGAATGATAAAGAGAGAGATAAAAAGCTCACACATGCATATTTTCCTCTTTTCTGGAGAGTAATATTCACATCTCAGTAGGTTTACTATATTTGTATCTTGAATGTTTCATGCATTAAATCCCTCTGTGTACATGTGTCTGTGTGTGTGTATGTGTGTGTGTGTCCCCGTGTGTGTGAAAGAGAGAGAGACAGAACATTTTACTTTACTAATGACTAAATGACTAATAATCACTCAAAACATTATGTTATCTGTAATTTTCTTTTATTGTGCCTTTTTGCATTTTGTATACAAAACATAATGCAAATTCTTGATATATGAATGTAATGTTCAGTCTTTCAGAAAATCTTGCTAATGATCTCATTCTAGGGATACTATTCTAAGAAATGGAGAAACTTGCATGATGTTCTAAGATTACTGTTTGTGAAATGCAGAGGAGCACTGAACAGGGAATGGAATAGGGGGAAGTAGAATTTTTTTAATTGAGTAACCAAGGAACATTTAAGGAAGCCTAAGAATGGAGAAGAAGGAAAGGTTCCACCTTGGATTAAGTGATAGATACGAGGACTGAAGACCTCAGCACACTGAAGTACTAGACTGGGGCCCTTTTAATGGTTCCTCATAACAACATGATTGGATTTATTTACTTTCCAGGTGGTTTGGACTGGTCTAATTGATGGGCTGTATAATTGCAAACCTTCTGACAAAAATCCTTTCTTCACCAAATATGTACCTCTTGAGATCTGAGAGTGTATTCTTTCCTCATCCAATATGTATCACTTTATACCTAAGAGTGCACACTTTCACCCAGAAAACTCTTCACCTCTCATTACATGGAAAGGTTTTGCTCTAGATCACAAATCAAATCATTTCAGAATTATTTTCAGACAAATTATGAATTTTTGAGTGCTTCACATCTGTTTTTACTATTAGAGTATAAAACTCATCACCTAACAAAATATTGTCCACTGGCAATAAAATGTGTAAAAAGGGAAATTAGTAAGTATTCATTAAAGAGGAATGTAATTAAAATTGAATAAAAGAATAAATACTTTTTGCAATTGAAAAGATCAGGAAAACTTCTGCAGAAATGAATTCATGACATAAAATGAAATTTAAAATATTATCATTAAAGTTTATTGTACTTATTTTAATCAATTAAATTATATGAATGCTTCTAATGATAAATTCAATATAATGTTAAACAAATACCCACTATATATCACACATAAATACACATACTACAGTGATTTCCTTTTGTTTACCAGTCTTCGAAGTGCCTCTTTCACATCCTTATTCCTCAGGCTGTAAATCAGAGGGTTCAACACGGGAATCACCAGAGTGTAAAACAGAGATGTCATTTTGTCTTGATCAAGAGAGTAGGAAGAACTTGGTTGGAAATATGTAAAGAGCAGAGTGCCCTGAAAAATTGCAACTGCAGTCAAGTGGGAGGTGCAGGTTGAGAAAGCTTTGAACCTCCCCACAGCAGAGTTGATCTTCAAGACTGATAAGATGATGTAACAATAGGAGATAAGGACTCCTGAGATGGTGCTCAGTTCAATAAACCCAAAAATGGTGAATATGACCAGCTCATTGACCTGGGTATCTGAGCAAGACAGCAATAGGATGGGAGGGATATCACAGAAGAAATGGTCAATCTCAAGTGACCCACAGAAACATAAACGGAATGTTAATGTTGTGTGTATCCAAGCATCTGTCATTCCTACCAGGTAAACTCCAGTCAGGAGTTGGTAGCATACCCTGCTGGACATGTCTACTGAATATAGCAAAGGGTGGCTGATGGCCTTGTAACGGTCAAAGGCCATCACTGCCAGAAGCACACACTCAACATCTATAAAGATACAAACAAAAAAGAATTGTAAGGCACAGCCAACAAAAGGAATGGATGTGTTTTGGGCCAGGAGGCCCTCCAGCATCTTGGGTCCAACTGCAGTGGAGTAGCAGAGGTCAGAGAAGGAGAGGTGGCTGAGGAAGAAGTACATGGGTGTGTGAAGCTGCTGGTCCATTCTGATCAAAACGATCATGCCAACATTTGTTAGGAGAATAATGAGGTAAACAACTAGCAACACAGTAAATAGAACCAATTTCATGTCTGGGTTAGTGGTAATTCCCAAGAGAAGGAATTCAGGCAAGGAGGAACAGTTTCCTGTGTCCATTCTTCTTTCATTATATCCTATTCTGTTAGAAAAGTAAAGGCAGAAGTTTGTTACTTTTTTTGATATGCATAAGTATAATATCTTTAAGAAAAACCAAAATTCTATTCCCTATATTATACACATCCAGACACTAGTGCAGGCACACTAGTAGTCTTAAAGACACATTGCTATGTACTGTGTCTATAATTAATGGGATATGTGACTTTTCTGTCTCCGTATCATTCTTAGACAGTGTATTCAGAGGAAATAGATAGTAATTCGGCATTCAGAATGATTTGAAAACAATCCAAAATTTAGAAAGACAAGGTAGATGGCTCATGGCTGGTGATGATCCCATATCTTTAACAAAAGGAATTGGAATTACTGCATTGTCCAACAAGGATAATTGTTTTTATCATCAACAATTACAATGCAAAACAGTTACTAAATGAACAACACTATGATACTGTTCTGGCATACTACTTTTACTCTAACTTAAAATGAAACATGATTGTTTAAACTATTAATTTTAAGTGCTTCTTTGCCAAACTATTAGAACCCCTTGTTTAACTTACTTGATTCCGAAGAATAATCTCCTGAAAAGCCAAAGAGAAGTTCCAAAATAGAAGCAAGAATCTATAATAAATACATTTTAATTTTTAGTTTTTAATATATTCTACTTAACTAAAAACTGAAAGTCAGAGAGTAGATATATGAAAGCTATCAAATTCTCTTTGTCTTGGGTTTCTAATTGAAATCATTAGTGCATGTTGAAAGTACTTGTCTATGTATCTATCAGTCTATCCATCCATCTGTCCATCTATCCATCTATCATCTATCTATCTAAATTGGAAGGAGTGTAGTTAGAAGTTATTGATTCTACCCTTAAATATTAAAGCACGTGGTTCATGTAAGGTTGAATATACAGTGTGTCATTGTCACCTCTATTATTACCTGAATAAACTGAAAAGAAATGGTAACCTTATGTATATCATTTACAGAGTGATCTTAAAAGTCAATAGAGAATTTATAATATCTTACTTAAAATATGAATAAAAACTTTACAATGCTTTTAAGAAATATAAATGAAGATAGTCTAGTTCACACAAATGTAAGAAGACATTTTTTAATTGGCAATTTTGATTACCCAGCATGTTTAATAGAATATGTATGCTTGAAATCATTCATTGTCAAGTTCATCAATATTGCTTTTCTAAAAAAGAAAAGATATCCTATTTCTTCCTTTATTCTTTAAAGACCAGTGTTCATTAACCTACCTGAGATGAGAAAGCCCTGTTGCCTTTCCTCAGGTGTCAAGAGTTTGCATCACATTTATCCTCACCTCGCCACCCCTGAGATTTAAATATGACAAGCACCCCGCTTTACTCTTCTGTATCATTCAAATGTGGATAATTATATACCTGCTTCATTATTTTCTCCTGGGAATAATGGCACAAGTTCAAAAAAGCCTGACTTTTTATTTCTTTTTCCTTGTCATCAAATTGCTCATTATAACCTGATCAGAATTCAGTTAAGTCTGTGCTTCCTGGCTGTGTGTTGTCCTGCGCAAATGAAACAAGACACCTAATGATACCAAGATAGGGCATCTCTCAGATGATTTTGATGAATTTTTCTTTATCTTTCTTGTTCATGCATTTTGGACAATCTCCTTCACCTCTACTTTAGATGTATGGTAATCTTACTGATTTTTGTCCTTAATCAATATCTTATTTATCTCCCCCATCATCATGTCAAGCACCCTCATTTACCATATTTTATGTCTATTCAACATCTACTGAACAGAGCACATTGTTTCTGGTGTTTATTTAAATATCTGATCGTGCCTATGCACCTGCATTTCCACAATCCTTGTCATAAAATCTGGGTAAGGAATGGAACAATAAAGGTTGTTTGTTAAACATCTTCAGGTTGCTAGGCTGGAGGATGCTCATGAAGGAGTGAAAATAAACAATCATTTAATTATTTTTTACTACTATACTTCACACATAAATGTTTTGCTTTTGTGAAAAGCATATTTGAATAATATGCTAGTATAATACTTTAAGAAAAAGCTTATTTATTTCTATCCATTTCCAAAATAACTTCTCTATGCTATATTTATAGTAGCTTTAGACAGTTGAGAACAGCTTGCAGCATGTATTTGTTGTCTTTCTCTACCTCTTCTTGACAGCCACCAATGAATGTTTGATACTTTATTAATCCTGATTTAACATCTTAGCAACTGACTTGACTGGACTTTCATTGGAAGGGAATACTAAATCCTGCATTCATAGGTATGACAAGAAATGTCTCCATTTTTTCTTTTAAAAGTAAGGTTTTAAGCACTACTTCATTCTGCTATAGACTCATGAAGGAAGACAGAATGAATTATAACAAAGAACAAAGGGATGATCTTTCAAAATTCAATTTTTTTTATTAACTAACCTAATTTATACTCATTATATATTTTTAGTATGACCATTTTGTGCTATTTTTTCCACAGATAGAATTCTCTTTAAATAGATTTTGAAATGTCTCTGGTAGAGGGGGACTATATAGATAAAATGTGTAGCATCAATCTACTATGTGGCTGTTACTCTCCCCAAAACCAAAATTTTTCCTCCCTGTGAAGCTCTGTATTTCAGTCATCCTGTCATGATTACTGAGTATGTGTGTTTGTTTATAAACAAACATTTATTTTTATTCATATGAAAGAAAATTGCTTTCCTTTTTATTAATATATTTTATTGAATTTTTGGGTTTTTCATAAACAATATTTTTTTTATTTTTATTGAGCTTTTGTAATTTCATACAACAGTTCTTAATCAAATTTAGAGACCCTCCTCCATCCATGCCTCCCTCATCCCCCCACCAAACCTCATGAGTCCACCGTATCTTATCATCTTTATATTCCCTTCCTTATTGGCACCCTCTCTTGGAAACCCCACTGTATTTCATGCATTCTGTCTTTTATAGTAAGGCCTATAATATCAAGTTAGTGCCACATGAAGTCCCTCAGTGCAAATTTATCCACTGCGGTCTAGTAAACCCATCTAGAATCATTCCCTTAAAGAAAATCAGCATTTTCTCACCAGGCAGTAATCAGTTGCCCAATACTTCCTCGAGTAGGATTGGAGCCTGCTGCCAATTTCCACAGTTTTATGTTGGACTTTTGCTCTCTTAGTTTCAACTGGTCTTGTGCATGCTGTTACCATTGTTTTAAGTTCATAGCGCAAGGTCTCAGGAGGCTGTAAGATTCTATTTCCATATGGTCATGCACTTCCTCCCCTGCTTCACAATCTTCCCCCACCTCCACTTCCCCAATGTTCCTGAGCCCTGGGTTCATTGCCCTATTTGCACGAGGTTGCTTCATTGATGAGAGTTGACAGATGCATTAGTATTCTCAATACCCTTTGTTACATTATGTCCAATGTGTCTTAGGAGTAGAGTTTCATTGTAGATGTGTTTTTTAGGGTTGAGAATTTCACAGATAATTTCTGTGTGTGACCAGCTGTGGAACTTTTAATAGTCTCTGTGGCAAAAGAAGCTTCTTTGTTGTGTGGTGATTGGCATACTTATCTATAAATGCAAGGATCCGTATTTAGCGAATAGGAAGAAATTGCATTTTTCTAGGGATATAACAGCCTTGGGGTTTTCTCTAAGATCTATGACCTCTCCCTCTGTGTATATTTGGCTTGTTACAGTGCCAAACATGAGTTCCCTCACACTGAATGGACTTTAGATCAAATTGTGTAGCTGTTGATTACCTCCCAGTAAAAATGTACCACTACTGCCCCAATATATTTGGCTGTGCCAGCCTTGCTTATGGTTACTAGGCATTTAAGCTGGGTTTGAACCATGAATTGATGTTCTCCCTTATCAGCTTACATAGTGTTCTCCAAAATTTTGAGGGGCAGCCTTCAGGGAGGAAGCTTCCATATCAGTTCCAGGTCTGTTGTTCTAAGCTATGTGTTCAAAGTATGTCTTACTTAAGCAATAGGGTCTTTTCTTCAAGCACTGAAGGACAATGAAAGACTAAGGCAGTAGTCTTGTGTAATTTTCTGCATCACTGACCAACAAGTCGAAGGGAGTTTTCTTCTGTCTGGCACTGTTTCTTGTTACATAGCCTTCAGCCATACACATAGACTCATGTAGAAATAATGTATGTGTAATATTTCAGTGGGATTTGGGGCTTTAAAATAACACATTTCTCTCTGCTTTTTTATACCAGCTAGGCATTCTCTCTCTCTCTCTCTCTCTCTCTCTCTCTCTCTCTCTCTCCCTGTCTAAACTTCTCTCCTCCCTCACCAGTCAAAGTGCTCCCATTTCACCCTTGATAATATCTTTCCTGTATCGTCCCCTTTCTTTTGAGTCCTTTTTATCCCCAGTCCCTATAGTTCCTTGTACAACTCTCCCTCTCTTCCTTCTCCCATTTCACCCTTGGTAATGCCTGTCTATTACTGTTCAACTCTCTCAGTTTCCTTCTTTCCCTTTACCTGCCTGGGTCCTTTCCATTTTTTTTTTTTTTCTGACTCCTGCAGTCACATCAGGATCAATACTCATATGAAAGGATTTGGTGCTAGGATCCACAAATGATGAGAACATCTGCCAATTTGTTTTCTGAGTCTGTGTTATTTCACTTAGTGTAACAATTTCTCGTTCCATCAAATTACCTGCACATTTCATGATTCGTCTTTCTTTACCACCAAGTAAATCTCTGTTGTATAAATGTGCACATTTCATTTTCATTATCAGTTCATCAGTTTAGTGATAATTAGGTGGCTTTCATTTCTTAGCTCTTGTGAAAAGAGAAGCAACAAATGTGAATGTACAAGCATCTCTGAAGTAGGATGAGTTCTTTGGGTATATTCCAAGGAGTTATATAACTGGGTGATACGTTAGGTTCATTTTTAGTTTTTTAAGTGTTTTCCACGCTGCTTTCCAAAGTTATTTTTAATGAGTTATTTTTAATGAGTTATATTTAATGAGTTATTTTTAATGAGTCAAAACTAATCAGAAATTTC